CCCTAGGCTCCCTCACCCACTTCCCGAACCACGTCAACAATTACCCACTTTCACCACCCGCTTACAAACCGAAGCCTTTTTATTAGATTCCAACGTATAAAGCATTATACAGCAAAAATAAAACATTAGTGTTTTCCCTTAAAAAAATCTAAAACTTATAAAAGATTGTGCCGTTTTAGTAGAGCATAATGCTTATAATGCATCTAAACTTGTTAATCAGTTAGAGGCCGTTTACCAAACACTTATCCGGTAAGCGTTTACCGGTAAAGTTCAACAATATCACTTATTTATCAGGTGAGATTTTAGTCAACAAAAAAGGAATTGTATGCAACAATTTATCCAATAAGCATAAACATGGTAAGAGTTATCGTCTTCACTTACCGGGTAAGACTCTCAGTCCTTGCCTCATTCTTATCGAGTAACATTCTTAATTCTTGTCATATTCATCCTGTAAGGTAACATGATTTAATAAACGCTTACCCGGATAAACATTTGATAGACGACCCTTCAGTTTGTTTTTATGATTTAAATATAATTAAAAGGTTATATTTATTCAATAATAAGTTGAAAAAGTTAAAATTTTAAAATACAAAAATAAGATGGATTTTTATAATTTAATAAATACATTTGATTTTTAATTTAATAAATACATTTGATTTTTAATTTAATATTATCGATATATTATAACGATTATTTTATTTATTTTCTTGTAGATATCTATTTATCTTAAAAATCTATAATGATACCGAAAATACCCTTAGAAGTCACATCCTAATCGTTATTTGGTTGATATCGTTAGTTGGAATCAACCATCCAAACTCAAATAATAAGCGGGAGTTACGCCGTCACTCAACCAGTCACCACCTCTATTATTTTTGTCCTTTTATTTTCCGGTATAAAATATAATATATATATATACATATATATATATATACACACATACATATATTATATAAATATAAGGTTGGGTATGAGATACATCGAGATAAGATGCAATGAGATACACCGAATCAATCCGCATATCAAGCGCGATTTATGGATGAGTTTGAAATTAAAGGTGATCAATGGTCCATGTCACTTTTTACGTTTCTCACCTTAACTTTGTTTCTTAGACGATCATTCGCCTATATACATACATGCATATATATACATATAGGGACCCATTCAAGGGAGAACTGAGTAATTTGTGATAACCGTAGAATCTAATCTCAACCACAAATCAATAGATAAATTAGGAAAGTTATAGTTTTGGTAATTTTAAATTAAAATTTTAATGCAAGTACATTTTAGGTATTTTCTCTTTTCTCTCCTCTCTCCGTCCCCCGTCCACTGTCCTCCGACTTAAATACTAATTATTTAATGGGATTGAGTCCCACCATTTTAAATAAACTAGTTCATGTTTATGAAGGTACATTTCCCCCTAACATGTTGTCAATTACCTATTTCTCTTAATGGTGTACAAATTTATGAAACACTCCACTAGGTTTAAGAATGTCCCACTGGAGATGCTCTTAGACCGAAACAACAAATCCAATCGAGACGCTTTTGTGTGTTTATTGTGGGCCCCATATGACCTCTTAGATTTTAGTGTTTTTTCAGTATTTGTCGTTATTTTATAAATTTTATACATACATCATACATATAAATATATAGATGAGTTTCAAATAAGAACACGGTCAAAGTAAAAAAAAACACAAGAACACTTATAACACATATAATTTTTAAGTCAAATCACATGTGATCAAGAAACATGGTCAAACCAAAGGTACGTGTGTACCTTGGCCCACGACCTAGGTCACATTTGACCATGTTTCTTAATCACGTGTAATTTGATTGTAAAATCACATGTGATATAAATGTTTTTGTGTTTTCTTAGTTTGATATGTTCTCGTTTTAACTCAACCATATATATATATATATATATATATATAAAAGGTATATTTCAAATGCAATCATGTTTATTTGTACAACTAATGTAACTCAATTAATTAAGATATTTATAGAAATGATAAGAGTTCATTTATTATGATTTGAATATTTATGGAAAATGAATATGTTCATTAATTATGATCAATACTTTATATTAAAAAACAATCAAAACTTATATGAAATCATATATTCATCAAATTRAATGGACGGTTGAGATTGAGTTGTATTGGTTATACAAATGTAAATGGTTGTATAATAACCCATATATATATATATATATATATATATATATGTGTGTGTTTTTGGGGGAGGGAACATAAGACATGATTACTTGTGGTGATTTGAGTTGATTTTTAACCACCCATTAAAAGTAATGTATTTATTGGTGGACCATGAATAGATTTATCAAAGATCATGAATAATATGTACATATAAACCATGAATATTTTTTCACTCATGAATGATGTTTCAAACATGAATTGACATAAGAATGTTCATAAAAACTTGTTGATATAACATTTATATGAACTTAAGCATGTGTTCATGAGTGAACAAGTTGAATCTCATATTAAAAAAATCATTTCCTAAAATACCGTTGTAAACATTGTTTACTTATGTTGCCTCTTTGTGCAATTAATTAAATTTTATGCTATGATTGATCTCAACCATAAATTTCAAAGATCAATGGATGAGATGAGTTCACAAAGTTAACACCATATATTGGGTTAACAAATGAACTCACTCCTATATACATACACATACATATATACATATAAATAGATGTATATACATATATATATATATATACACACACACACACACATATATATATATACATACACTATACACACACATATATATACACGTACACACACACACACATATATATATATATATATATATATGGTTGAGTTTCAGTGAGAAGAAGAGTTAGAGTGAGAAGCGTAAGAATAGATCTTTACCTTAGATGCACATTAGGATGAGATACACCAGATCAGTCCCTGTATCAAGCGCAATTCATGGGTGAATTTGCGATTAAAGGTGATCAAGGGTCCGGATCCTTTATCTCACTTCTAACCGCAAAACTCCTTCTCACAAGATCCTTTGTGTGCGCGCACACACACACATACATATATATATATATATATATATATATATATATATATATAAACTGAAAGAAAAAAATGAACAGACCAATTTACCTTTGAGGTAATGACTAATAGACATACACCATTTGCCCTAGGAACGAAAACAACAATGATTTACATACCACAATGATGAAGACTAAAAAAAACCAAAAATTTTCACGAAACCACAAAGACGAAAAACGTAGTTCATCATAATATACTTATAATAAGAGTTAAATACATTTTTTGTCTATGTGGTTTGTGGAAATTCAGGCTTTCGTCCTTCGATTTTGCTTACTACGAATCTCCTACTACCATCTGCATTTTATTTTGGTTTTCGTCCCTCCATTTTATGGACATCAAGTGCCTCTTAAGCGTCCCTTCGTGCCCCCTAACCTGAGAGCGTCTTGGTCATTATGTTTCTTAATGTGATGCCACCTTTTCACTGAAGAAAATTATGAGCATTTAACATTTAAGAACATCAATGAGAATATACAACAAACACTATGAACATGTATAACAAATTGGTGTAAATTAGTTTTGAAAGTTTGTGATACAAAACCCATGTATTATATAAATACCCCATATCAAAAAACCGTAAATCAAAGTGAAATGAATACCAAAAATCAAAAGCCCTAATTGACTATGGTTCCACAATCAAAACCCTTGCGTCGTGGTACAAGTAGAAGCATCGACGGTGACACAAGCATAAATCAACAATCATAGAAGCAAAAACCGACACATAAACAACGACGAAGGTGCATGCTAGGGGTGCTCACGGCCCGGGTTGATCGGTTTGGAGCCGTTTTAACAACCCAACCCAACCCAATGTTGGCGGTTTGAAAATTTTCAACCCAACCCGACCCGTTCGGTTTGATCGGGTTGTGTTTAAACAACGTAAAATCACATAAAAATAAAGGAAACTTTCCTTTGAAATACGACCGACCATTCAAGATAATATGCAAGTTCATCAAATATTTAGATATTACAATAAAAATGTTTAAACCAAATGATAATACATCAATCAACAACAATAGTTTTGGACGTTTCCAACCCCGATGCTTTCGCTTTCTTGACGTTGAGGTTGGTCATGTCATGATTGTCATCTACAATTCAAAGCTAAAATTAAGGTCGGGCTCATCGGGTTGGTCGGGTTTTTTTGGGCCTGACCCGATTCCAACCAATAAGGTCGGGTTGGCTAATTTTTTTATCGATCATGCATCGGGTTACCTCGGATTAGGTTGGTCGGGTTCATCGGGTTTTTAAGCACCCCTAATGCATGCGATGGTGGTGGTGGGCGTGCAGGCGTTTGTGGTAGTGTCAAAGAAGCAAGGGAGGAAGGAGAGGATGATTTAGAGGAAGATGGACAATGTCTTAGGGGGTAGGGGGTTGATTTTTTAAAGATGATACATCACCAATTTTTTTTGTAAAATAACTAAAATACCCTTCTTTAAACGGAACATAAGTCACTTAACAACATAAAGATACAAGTGTTAGTTGGAAAGACGAATTAGGGGTCGTTTATCAAACACTTATCCGAGTAAGCGCTTACCAAGTCACATGACCTCACCGGATAAATATGGTAAGGACTAAGAATCTTACCCGGTAAGAATGAGACAAAAACCATGAGTCTTATTCGGTAAGTGAGAGCGACGACTCTTACCACGGTAAGCATTACCGGGTGAATTGTTGCAAACAATATCGTTTTAATGAACTAAAATTTTACCCAATAAGTAAATAATAATATTAAATTTTACCGATAAGCATTTACAAGAAAAGAGTTGAAGATAAATAAAATCAGGGGTGATGCAATAAATTTAAAAAGAAAAATGAAAAAAATAAGAAAAGAATTTCCCCTTTTTATTGGAAAAAGGTGTATAAAAATAGACAAATGGTTTGATGACACCACAGAAACCAGAGCATTCTTCTTCCCTCCTCACACTCTCCCTTCAAATCATACCTGCCTCTCAACGCATACTATTTCTCTCCCTTTCTCTCTCTGTGCCATTTAATTTTCGTCCATTCTTTCTCCGGCACCGTCTCCTCCCTTTCTCCGTCACCATCACCATCACCGTCGTCTCCCACTCAGCTACTACTACTAATCATGAACATTGCTTGAATCGGACATAACTTCCCCAACTCTTGTTGTAACTTCACGATTTGATTCAAAACACATCCCATCGATTTAAGCTTATCAAAATGAAAGGTAATGGTTCTTCGATTCTCGAATTGTATATTGTAATTTGTATATGTTTTTTTTTTTTATCACATTCGATTTTCTGTTTGTGCTCTAGGACCCCGAAGATTATCGAGGAGTATAATGAGAAGCCAAAAAAGCCCTGAAATAGAATCGGATGAAAGTTCGAAAAACAAACGGGATCAGGATAATGAAAGCGATGATCAAACGTCTCCAAGAGGCGTGTTGGAAGTCGTTGGATCTGGTTCAGATTCCGATAACAGTAGCTACATAAGTAGAAGCGTGAGCGAGAACAGTTATGACTACGCCTCACGCTCCTGCTTGTCGTTCAAGGCACCTGCGGCGGCAGGATGCGACGGCGACGGGGAAAACAACAGCAATAGCAACATGAATCCGGTGTCTCCGACTTCGGAAATAGTACAGGCGGAGGCGGTGCCATGGAGGAATTTGATTGATAATTTGAAGTGGAAATCATTCAGGAGGTTATCGGCGGCCCCGTTGGTGGCTGGATATGAACTTTCGAGGAAGAGTTTCATGAAGAAATTGGGCAGGAATCATAGCTCGGAGGCCACCATTAACGAATTCTATGTGCCCAAACCTTCGTGGCGGAATTTCAGTTTTGAAGAACTTACGGCGGCTACTAATAGCTTCAGCTCCGGTAAGTATTTGTTCCTCCCATCTGTGCTTACTTTTACTACTCCACTGATGCATGTTAGGGTCTGCTTACCGTCTTTTACTGGTTAATAATTATACCAAGTTTTTGTTGGTTTTCCATCAAGTTTAATTGTCTTTTTCTTTTACCCCTGTAAAAGACTTTATTCAGTGAGAAATAGTGTCATTTACTAACAATCTTATCGAGCCAACATCAGGTTTATATGATGATAAGTGTTTTAATAGATCGTTTTATAGTACTTTAAGTTTATAGGACCAAACAATTGTGAGTCCTATATAAAAACGTTACAATAAGTTTATAGGATATTTTTGGACATATTAACGGGTTTTTAGGACATTTTTGAAGTAAAACCTTCTACAATTGTTTTGACCCTGTCAACTTAAGTCCTATAAAACAATCTATAAACTTAATTTTATAAATGACTCTTACCTGATTAAAACTTACGTGTAAAAAGACTTTACTACACCATTATGATCGATTGAGAATCTTAACGGTAAGTGAGGTAATAACTCTTACCGGTAAACGCCTCTCTTTCTTAAATCATTAATATATATTAATTATGCAAAAAAGATGACCAATGAACAATTTGAGAAGATAATGTTATTAGATTGATGAGTGACAAGTAATTGGCTAAGAAAATAATATTGGAGTATTATTCATATAAAGAAAGCATTATGATGGGAAATGAATTGGACATTCCAGCGTCAAAGCATGCGTAACTTGGTAAAGTTGCACCAGTTTTTTTTATATGATTATGTATATAACCTTTTAATAAATTCAACTTCATGACATTACAAAGTCTTTTATTGTATAAAAGTATTTTATGGATCTAATTGATATATGTATTTCAATAATATTATTGTTATCATTTGTTATTATGGATCATTGCCTGTCGTTATGTAAAGTAGAATTAGAATATTCTTGGTATTATCATGTTACTATATTTCTTATGTCATAAACGTTTGAACATTTAAAGAGATATATAAGTGTCGATAGGGATGGACCCATGAATTTTTTTTACGGTGGCACAATGTAAAGCGGTTGCATCTTCTAAAACAATATGGTTTCACCTTTTACAAAACTAATTTTTTTTTTACCTTATAATGGAGGGATTTAGGCAGATGCCATCATTTACCCTTAACTGAGTCCGTCCCAGAGTGTCGACTAGACCAGTCAAGGTGGTCAAAACTTTTTCAAAATGGCCTTTATAAAAAGACACACATGATCCAACATAAAAGATATGATAATAGTATACTATTAAAAAATGTTCTTGGTCGTATCATTCTTTTACATGAAAAGGAGTACATTTTCTCTAGAAAAGAGGTGCATAGATTATATTTCTTGTCTCATTTACTTGTTTGAATGTTTAAATAGATATATAAATGTTTGATTGAAACTGTCAAAATGGTTGTAACTTTTTCAAAATAATTAAAGATTGTGAATTTGAATTATATGCTTAGTATGCCTAATAAATTGCAAGGAGTTTGTTATCGCTCAGATATGATTTTACTTCTTTAGAAAAGATATCATAACTGACATGAAAGAAAAGATATCATAACTGACACGTGGAACAGAAAATGGCTTAATATGTTAATTAATAATTTGGGAATCCTATGGGATTAGACGAGATGTACAAAAGCTGACTCTGATACTCATAAATACAAAAAAAGATAAAAAGATCCAAACCCATACATGTAAATATATGTGAATCGAGAAGAACATATTTTACTATAAGAAACACAAAGATGTAGATTTTATTTTGTGCCGGTCATTATGTTTTCTTAGAATTCCCTCCCCACTAGATGTTAAGAAACATGGTTGGACCTACGTAGTCACTTGGATATACATATGCGTACTTTGAAAAAGAATGGTAAGCATATATGTCTAACATATTCTTTAAATTAGAGAATAGAGATTTTGAGCTAATTTTTTTGTTGCAATAAATTCTCTAAAACTCTCCAAAATAAGAAATTAGGAGAGATGGTAAATTTTTTTAACTTCGGAGAATTCCGTAAAAATAATGACATTTTTTCCACCAATAAAAGTCATTGAAAATAAATATTTATGAGAAAAAAAACAATATCTTATTAAATACTTTAATAAAAGTAATTAATATTATAATCTCAAAAGTAGAAAATCCATCGGAGTTAATATAATTTTTTAAGGATTTTTATTTTTGATTCTCTATGATTTTGAAAAATTTATTATAAAATTGCTATGTATGTTTTTATAATAAAAATTATTACAATATTGATGAAATCATAAGTTCCAACCAAGAATGGAAAATAAAGATAAATCTGGTGGGGGCAAAAGGACCTGGTCGAAGAGCATACGTTATAATCAAATCTAGGTGTTGCGTCTACTTCATACTCACACCCTACTTTCACTGTTGACAACCTGTCGTTTTGCACTTTACTTGATAATTAATTAATTCTCTCATCGCATCAAGCTGTTTCGGTTTAATTCTTACCATTTTTGTATTGCATGCAATAAACTGTCTTATAAAACGTTCATGGCGTTTAATGGAAGAAAAAAATGGTGTATTTTCTAAAGACGTTACAATAAGTTGTTAGGATGAAGTTGACCAACCTAACTGTTTCTTGTAACGTTTTATAGATCACTTAGAAGAGGGTCCAATTAACCTTTCATATATAAGAATAAGACACTTTCCAAAAGTATCATATATATATATATATATATATATAACAGTTAATATAACAATTTATATTTTTTCTCCTGTTCAACTTGGCTAACTTTTACTTAATAAATGATCATAACACCTCAAGATAAGATTTGGGTTGGTTGTAGAAGTCACATTTTATTGTCATGTATTTGGAAAAAGTTCATGTGTTTGAGGCCAAGTAGGGCATGTGCTTCTTTAGAGTTATGATGGCTATGGGTTGTGGCACAGGCAGTGCACCTGGACTTTGATTTGAGGGTCTAAAAAGACAAAATGTGTGTTGTTTAATGGGTGGAATGGATGCAGTCCTAGGTCGACTCGACATTTTCTGTAAAAAGAATAATCCAAAAACCCCACATGTTCTTCATTAATCATCCTCCATCCCATCGCATTAATATTCATGGCCAAGATACTGCATGTGATGATGTTTCCATTAGTTAATCATCTTCCAAGAATATAAATAGTTACATATAAGTCTCTACATTTTCATACAATGACTAAACAGTCCCTCAGTTTGAAAATACACTGCAAATGTGGGATCTTAAATCCATCAGTATTTGCCTTTCCTGTCTCTAAGTTCTTTTTTGTAGTCTTGCTCTTTTTTATATTTTTTTTAACTTTTAGGGCTAACTTTTTCACACACTTTATCATGTGGGGAGTCTTTTTTTTAATTATATAATATTTATATATGTCAAATACCTACGTATGCTCCTCACCTTTGGTGAGGTTTGAACCCTTGACCTGAAGCTGGACTCTACTAATAGCCCACATACTGCTGGCCCTTGGGTATGCTGTGGAAATTTCATGGAAATAACTATTCTACTTTTTGGGCTAGATCGAGGTCAGGTTTGCGTATCTTAACCATAGACGTTACCTTCGGATGGAATATACTGGGTTTAGTTTTGTATGGTCTGTAAGTACGGTGACCGTGGTTTTGACTTGGGATTAAAATGGTTGTTGTAGACAATTTGCTCGGAAAAGGTGGGCATGCGGAAGTGTATAAAGGATGTTTACCGGATGGACAAATTGTTGCGGTGAAGAAGATAACAAAGAAAGAGAAGAAAGATGAAGATAGAGTTGGGGATTTCTTAACGGAGCTTGGGATCATTGCACATATCAACCATCCAAATGCTGCTAGATTGATCGGCTTCAGTTCTGATAATGATTTGTACCTTGTCCTCCAATATGCACCTCATGGCAGCCTTGCAACTTTACTACACAGTAAGCCATCCTTCTTTCTCTCTATACTTAAATATAACTATTGTCATAACTGTTATGATGCCCAAAACCGTGCACATATGAATATGTTAAGAGGGGTCTCCTGCCCCCTTGATCCACCTCAAGTATACGAGTGCATAACGAGATCATAAATAAAATTGGAATTCAGGAAAATTTGTTTAGAGTTTGATCCGGGGCTCCAGGTGAAGGATTTTGGGGCCAATCGTGGGTCAAACTGCTCTCGGGTTTTTGCCATTGCATACAGCCTGTCACGAGCTTAGCTTTCTGTCCATAAGTGGCAGTTCCTATAACCAGTGGCGGATCTAGAAATCTCTATTATTGGGGGTACATTTAAGAGTGTCAAAAAAAAATTTGAAACCAAATAACTCATTTGAACCAATATGATTTCGGGTTATTTGGTTTCCGGATTAAACGGTTCAGTTATCGAATAAATATAACTTATTCGGTTTGGTTTTCAATTAATTTTTGACTATTTCGGATAAACCGAGACATCATATTGCCATGTACATATTTTACTTTTCAGTTAAATCAAAGCAAATGAACACACTATACATTAATAGTTAGTAGCAATAAATTAGAGGGCAAGAGATCGATAACTTAGATTCAGTTAAAAAAGAAATCAGATAGCAAAATGCCAAGAAATAAAAAATAAAAGACAAACTAGTATCAAACCTTAAATCAAAATAACAAACCCGAATTAAATAACAAATTAAAGAATCCTAAATCAAATAACAATTAAGAAAAAAAATTAATAATTAACAAATAACAATAATTATAAATCTATAAAACAATAAAATGCAAAAAGAAAGTCGGAAAAAATGAAAATAGTGATTAATCAAATCATTAGTATTATAGCAAACAAAATATGAAAAATAAAATGATTTTTAACAGATTGAGACTTGAAATTTAAGGGCGTTTAATTGATCCTTAAAGTAAATGACTCCTTGAAGTAAGAGTTATAAATGAGATGCATAAATTTAGATTTGGAGCCTTACCTTTAATTGTTGGGGGGCCTATAAATAGTTTTTTTTTTTTTTTTAAACCTACCACTCATGCTTTATTTGGGTGTTTCTGGGGGTTAGCCTGTTGGGGGCCTGTGCCCCCTACGCCTTTAGTGTGCATCTGCCAATGTACGCAGACAATACAAGATTGGACTTAACTGTGTTGGACTATTTGTCTGTTTGGTGTCCGGTACGACTAGGACATGATTGGACAAGTTGTGTGTATCATGTTTGGTAAACTCAACATGACAAAATTATTAAAATGACTAGATTGTCCTCCAACATATTTTTTAAGTTATTTGCATATATATAGTTATAAATAATACAAATCAATTAAACAAAATGACCAGTTTAGGTTGATTGATTTTGAATTTCCAGATTCAGAAGAGATTGTGGAGTGGAATATAAGGTTCAAGATTGCCATTGGAATCGCAGAAGGTTTGGAGTATCTCCATTACAACTGTAACAAACGCATAATTCATAGGGACATCACAGCCTCGAACATCTTACTAACAGAAGACTACGAACCCCAGGTTCATTTCTATCTTTTATTATTTAAATAACCCTTAAATTTCATACTTTTGATGATACTGGCATGGAACGGAACCTAAAATAACTTTGGAAACCGGGGACCATTGACAGCAGATACGTGGCATATTAATTAGGAATACAGAGGTATTATTCATCATGAATATTGTAACATATTCATCATGAATGTGTTATTTATGATGAATAACACATCCCATATTCATTAAAGCGTCATTCATGATAAATATTCATCCTGAAAGAGGGACACCTTTTTGCGCCGTGGATGGTAACCGGGTTCCTAATCAATTTTGGGTTCCTAACAGAACTTCCTTCTACTGGGATATGCTAGGTGGTTTGGTTTGATTCATGATTATTTTTGTTTGATCAGATATCAGATTTTGGTCTAGCAAAATGGCTCCCGGAAAGTTGGGCTCAACAAATTGTATCCCCAATCGAAGGGACTTTCGGGTACTAAAAATTTCATCCTTCTGTACTCCTGTTAGTAGCAGATAATCATTTTTGTTGATGTTTCTATGAATTTGTTCTCTAGATATATGGCTCCGGAGTATTTCATGCATGGAGTAATTAATGAGAAGACCGATGTTTTCGCTTTTGGGGTTCTTTTGCTCGAGCTTATCACTGGTCGTCGTGCTGTTGATTCACGTCGACAAAGCCTAGTAATCTGGGTACGTTAAATGACTAAAACAAATCAAGTTTATATGACATCAAAAATGTCTACTTGTCTTGATAGACTTTATTATAGGATCAAATAGTTGTGTCCTATAAAAAAGCGTTGCAACAAGTTTTTGTGTGCGTCTTAACAAAATTTTAAGACAATCTTGAAATAAAGTGATCTATTAATTTTCTATGACATTAATTGGAAAAAAAAATGTCTTCTAAAAAAGTGTGTTCATAGAACATTTCTCAAAAGGGTCTTAATGAAAAGCTAACAAGTTGTTACCACCTTCATAGGATACACAGTTTTTTGGTTTTATAAACTTTTAAGTCTTGTAAACAGTTTGTTAGGGGACTTGGACATTTTTGGTGTTCAGTAAACCCAAATTGAACTGTTGAATCTTTGCAAATCATTATCAAAATTTCATTTTTTCGGTTGTTACAGGCAAAACCGTTGCTTGAGCAAGGTGATGGGAAGGGACTCGTGGATCCTCGATTAGGAAATGACTACGACCTTGTGGAATTAAAACGAGCAATGTTGATTGCTTCATCGTGCATTCATCACATGCCCGATATGCGCCCAAATATCAAACGGGTTTTACAGATACTAAAGGGGGAGAGCCCGGCCGTGGAATTGAGACAGAAAACGTTTGACGGGAGATCATTGATTGCAGACACCTGCGATTTGGAGGATTATACGTGTAAAACGTATCTCAAAGAACTCAATCGTCATCGGGAACTCGTTATGGAATGACGAATCGATTGAGATCGAGATCGAGATCGAATCAGCCATCTTTTCGGAAATCTTTTGTATACACAATATCTCATTGTTCGTGTTTTGCCGATGTCACAAGCTCAATCAAGGGTCAATGGTTTACGATGATCAGCATCGAAGATGCTATCAGAGGACACATATGCTGCTTATGTTTTCACGTTTAGCAGTCGAGCATCGTCCAAAGGTGGATTTCATCGATGTTTTAGTGGGAAATTTCCTGTTTTCCGTTCTCTTTTTCTCTTCGGATGATCGAGTGTTGGTTCTTGTCGATTCAGACGGAAGTTTGAAGCTCCAAAAGGTTGTAAATCATATATTGAGGATATAATATATATATATATATATATATATATTGTATAGTTTGTATCTATTAACTCCATTACGGAGAAGTTGGAAGCTTTTGAAACCAAAATTGGAATGAAGATGATGAATAGCTCATAGAAATCGTATACATCTTCCATTTATTCATCAATGAATCAATTAGTTTTAACAAGCAGACTGCTGTAATATTATTTTAGGCCACTTGTTCGATTAGTTATATATAACTATGGTAGTGGCTTAACGATATAAAAGATGGCTTATTTAGTAAGCTTGGAAGCTTTGTGTAGAAATGCAAGTTTTTTTTTTTTTCTCCAAACATGTTCCTCCAAATTAAAAAACATGCTTATTTTATCTATGAAAAACCTTGTCAAACAAAAATCTTACCAATCCACATAGATTGCTCAATCTATACATAATTTAATGAAAAACCAAACAAACAGCCTCTTAGAGGTGACTAACAGGCGGCAATTGGCAGAAGTAGACATGGCATCTTTAATAGGGTCCGCATAATCCATCATGGTTAACTGAAACCAAGTGTGTGAGGCCGTTTACCTAAATGCTTACCGAGTAAGCGTTTACCAACACTCTCAATCACCTTATCGAGTAAGATTCCTGATCTGTCAAAACGATATTGTATGCAACAATTTTCCCGTTAAGTAGTCGCTACCTTCACTTACCGGTTAAGACTCTTAGTCCTTGTCAATTGTCATTGCTCTTACCCGGTAAGATTTTTAATTATTGGCATGTTTATTTTTTAAAGTAAATATCCTAATAAACGTAGGTAAGCATTTGATATAAGTGACCCGGATATGTAATTGGTGGGCACAATTACTTGCCCTGTCCAAAAAGCAAATCGGGCCTACACTCTGGAAATGGGTATCTTTTTGAAGAAGTTAGGCAGTCACCATTGGGCAACAATATTCATATGAGTTAGGACTTAGGAGGAGGTATGAAATCCAAGATAAGCTAGAATTTGAGATCATTAATGATATTAATGATACGAGTCGAGCTCAAGTATTAATATACTTTATTTGAACTCTATAGTCATTTATCAAGTTCGAACTCGACTCGAAAGTTAACGAATAGTTAAAAACTAAACTCGAACTTGATTGCAATTTTTTAAATTCGAACTCGAGCTAGAACTCATTTGAAGCTTGAAACAAGCTCGACCATTGAAATTTATGAATTTTAAGGGTCTTCTTTTATAAATTTTAAAACTTAAAAGTGTTGTCTTAATTCTTATAAAATTAAAGGGATCCACTTCAAACTTCATAATAAAAAAGACAAAGTTATAAATTTTATTCACCTCCTTATCTTTTTATAACATTTTTCCTTCTTTCCTTTACCATCTTTCTTCTAATGTGAGACAATTTCACCAACACTTTTATCCTTTTTTTTGTCTTTTTTAAATTATGATTTTAATATAAAAAAACAATTGATTAGTTTTTATAATTAAAAAATGCATAATTTTGTTCAAATATCTAAAATATAACGCATTTTTATTATTTACATTTTTATAAATTTTATTATAAAAACTGATTATATTTTAAAACTAATTATATATAAAATAATCGAGTATCTCAAAAGCTTTTTCAAGTCGAGTATTAAGTAGCTTGACTCGACTCGTTAATATGTCCAATCGAGTGTTGACCGAGTAGCTCGCGAGTTGTCTCGTATCGTTTACACGACTAAATGATACCATAAAATGAAGAACAAAAATGAAATTTAAGATAGATTTGATTCGTAAAATAGAATTTGTTGGAATTGAAAGGTATAACATAAATATATGAAGTCGTGTACCATGGTAATACCGTACCGTACCGAATTATTTATTTATTAAGTTTAAGTAGTTATACAACATATTTTGATTTTAAATTTTAAATTTTAAATTATCCTGTTCCAAATTTTGCTAAATTATAATATGGATTGATATATAAAATTTGATTGTATTTATTCACCTTACTCTAACAACCTTAGGAACTCGTTCACACCTCCACGGTCCATCGACACTCATCAATTGCAGTTTGTAGTAGACTATAAGGGGTCGTTTACCAAACACTTACCCGGTAAGTGCTTACCGGTAAAACTTAACACTATTGTTTACTTATTGGGTAAGATTTTAGTCCACCAAAACGACATCGCATGCAACAATTTATCCGGTAAGCGCTTACCGTGGTAAGAGTCGTCACCTCACTTACTGGGTAAGACTCATGGTCCTTGTCTCGCTCTTACCGGGTAAGATTTTTGGTCCTTACCATATTCATTCGGTGAGGTAACATGACTTGGTAAGCGCTTACCCCGATAAATGTTGGTAAACGGCCCCTTAGTCCTTCTCTCGCTCTTACCGGATAAGATTCATGGTTCTTACCATATTCATCCGGTGAGGTAACATGACTTAGTAAATGCTTATCCAGATAAACGTTTGGTAAACAACCCCTAATAGTGAATACTTGTATTATATTAAGATTATTTGAATATTGTTATAGGTAGGGATAAATGATACAACACATAGCAACATATTATGTGATGTTCGATCGTTTTAGTACATCTAGATCTAGTTGGTGAAGATGTCAATTTAAATAAAGTTCTAACTTCAACTTTTGCAATGTTGATACAATACCGCACCAACATGTACCAACCAAAAGAAGTTGGTAACAGATATAGTTGGTTGGTACATGATATAAAATTTTACATACCAATTATAATTAGTTAACAGATGATATATAAAAAAAACCATGATACCATCTTCATTCCTACAAATACCCATCTCTACAAGCATATCTCATCTCTTATGATAGGATGAAACATGAGATTGGTCCCCCAAAACCTCCGTGAGAACACTCCATAAACACCCGGGGCATACATATTAACATACATACATATATACATACACGTATTTATGTATATAAAAGATGTTGGTCCCCCTTGATTTCCATAAACACAGTACTCACACCCTTATACACACACACACACACACAGTGACCTAAGAATTGGATTTGCATAGACCTTCCAAAACCCATTTTCTTAGATTTACTGTAAATTTTACATTGTGCATTCCTCAAAACTACTGTTTTTCAACGATAGAAAACCAAACTTGTTCCGAATATTACTAAGGAAAACATGCATGATCGTACATGATGTCCAACGTCAGTATGAAATTGACAATCAAACTTAAATAAGAACGTGTTTACTCTTAAAAAAAGTAACATAATTAACCACTAGAATCTCAATCCTCCCTACTTTCTTTCATCTTCAAACCAAGCTTAAGCTCTCCATCATACAAGCTAATCCTCCAAACTTTTGGTAAAGTTCCACTAAACCCCCCCTAAATTTAGTTCTTATTTATTCTTACAAAATTTACTCTTCTATAGTATCATTTATAAAAGATTTTTTTTTGGTTGTTATAGATTGATCTGGTGCATCTTGATTCATCTCATCCTAATATGCATATAAGGGTAGAGATTCCTTCTTACGCTTCTCATCTTAACTCTCTTTTTCACCAGAATCCAACCCTGTCTATGTAACTATTTTTTTTCTTGATGTTATTACATTTTGTTGTGGACAATAACCGGAATATGAACTATAGCTTATATTTGGGAATATAAAAGATAAGGTTTTTCTTTGTAAAAATCTTGTAACTATTTGTATTGATCCAAGAAAAAAAAACCTCCAACAAAATCGAAGACTAGTTGAAGTAAGGTCAAGATCGTTACCAAAGTGGATTGGTTTGTCATTTAGCCGAAAGAAGATTAATGCATGATAAAGTCAAATAGTAGTTTGACAAATATTACTACTGGCATGCCGGATTTTGCAGTGCAAACTTTCTAGCAAGTTTGACTCACCAACTCTACCACACTCATCCTAGTATAGAAACATGTTTAGCATGCCAGTCAAAGTAAGTTCTAAAAATACTATTTTAATAGTATCATAGTTCCTTTACCGCTCCCTCTTCATACATAAGGATGAGTTAGGTTAACAAGTATCTACATCGACTTTAAATGGCTGAAATGAAAAGTACAAACATGCATGAATCATCAAATCAAATAAAGAACACAAGCGTCAAGGTTGGCTAGCAAAATTTAGTGGGTGTTTGGTTGGTGGTATTAGAAAGATGATATAATGCGATGGACTACGTGACTATCAAGTTTCTTTTTTGTTTTTTTTATTATTAATTAATTTTAAGAAATCTCTAATAATATAATTGAATGGAATGAAAATAATGATTCCGATTCTACCATCTTCTAATTACTAATCTCATCTTCATTCCTTAAAACGAACCAAACACCCTCTAATCTTAATGCAATGGTAGCTATAAGAGGTCATCCTTATCATATGTTGCAACTCTCATGTCTTGAAAGAACTTCTGAGTGATAGTTTCTTAGTTAAAATCGGCTCACCATCTGAAAAACCATCCAAGTACTTTAGATATGAAAGAGTACGTCATTCTTTCACTCTTTCGGTTGTTAGTAAATTTGTCACAGTCAAATTGTTTAGGATCATGTCTTACTTTCCTAACTTGTACAACATATATGTAATTCTCGGTTTTAATACAAAATATAGAACCAAAAGCGAAAATTTATGGGTAATGCTTTTTGGGTTTTTTATAAGCTTTATGACAATGGTAGTACTACTCTTTATACCATAAGTGTTTTTTATTATTTTAAAAAAACTAAAAGGCAAAAC